AGGAGAGCAGGGCCCAGACCGCTGTTAGTAATCAAGGGAAGAATTCTGGAGAGTGACTCCAGCTGTGTGCGGTTGTGTTTGGGTGTGCGGTGCTAGTTGTTGAGTGAGTAATTGTGTGTGTGTTTGTGTATGTACGCGTGTGTCCACCGTTTGGTCCGGATGGCAGCCAACAGTGCTTGTGTGTACCAACACCATTGATGTTTGCTTGGAATGCGTTTGTGTCCAGAGGGCAACCATGTCCGAGTGTGTTGTTCTGCAGAAATAGAAAAGTGAAACCAGGGCAGAGGGTCAGGGCCGGCTAATGCCTCCTTTTGATTTTTTTTTTTAACAAGGACTTCCTGCCTCCATGGAGCCTGCTTCATTAGCGGCATTACATGGCGTCCTGTGACCAGGAAACGCTCCTCTCACCATCACAAAACCAATTTCAGCTCCACACCAACCGTCTAATACAGGAAAGGAGTGGCGAGGTCACTTGATGGGTACACGCTAGACTCAGGCTACATCCACACACTACCACGCATCACATGACCAGGGCTGATCGCAAAGCACTCGAACAAAAGCTCGCCTTCTGAGCATGTAGCCAGTAGCAGCATTATAAAATGCAGAATTTAACTGCGCAACAGTTGCTAACATAGACAACAAAATCGGCAAAACTTGTAATTCGTTATCAATGCTGAAATGAACCACTGGTAGTCGAGGCTGATGTCGTATCAAGTGAAGAATCGGGGAGGGACAGGTCATGACTGAAAAGAACCAATCAGGAAGCGTAAATGTTTTAAAATGAAAGTGTAGTAGTGTAGATGTAGCCTTAAACAGATAAAAGTGTCAATATATCCTTTGACCAGCATGTTCTAGTTTGTCGAAACATTCCTAAAATTATTTCTTCTTCTTTTTTTTTGCGTAGGCTGGAAAGGCGTCTCTCGTAAATGGTTTTATACGTATTGATTTTTATAAAATTGTTCAATTTTCATTAATTCAAGACATAATACAATACAATGAGTATGCAATCAAGCAAACTCCATCATATCAAACGTCAGTGACGCAGAGCGGCCAATTTCAGATTTTTTTATCAAAATAGTGCTCAGTCACAGCGCTGACTCGCCAACATGCTGGTTGACAACACATCTCTTTCTGCGTCTTTTAGAATCGAATAAAAGTTCATCCTCCTTCCTCTCTCACCGCTCATAGCCTCCCAGATACAGCCGGGCTGTTGTGTCGTCACGACATACTGGATGAAAAGGCCCAGGCAGTGGTGTATTTACCTCTCTCATACAGAATACTGTTTATGTGTTTTGTTCCAAAAACACCATCCTGGATGAGAAGATTCCTGTTTTGCTATTCGGCATGGCTGTTCCCCCCACGGTGTTATTTATGCTGATGATGATAATAAATGAATACATTTTTTATCACATGTCTCAAGCTAGACTTTGACACGGCACGATTTCAACCTTAAACAGCTCTTGTTCCAAGAGGTTGTTCTGCTCACTCATTTCCGTTTGAATACATTCGATAACCCCATATACCACGTTGCTTATCGCGCCTTAAGTCGTGCTTACGATATTTGTTTGTGGTCAGCATGTAAACCCAGCCAGCGCTCGGCATCACGAGGGCTGGCAGCTCAGTGTGAACACTAAACATCACGAGGCTCGAGGGCCCATCTGTGTCCTCTCCAGTGGACCACTTCATGAGGCACGCTCACCCTGCTCATTCAGTGTCACTCACAAAGTCAATGTCAAAACGTTATGTCAATGTCATCTGACAGAATGATTGTTGATAAACAGTGTGGGTCAAGTTATTATAATTGTTGCTCACTTCATGAGGAGGATTTTCAATGTTTTTTTAATAAACAGTTTTTTCTGAAGACGAGTATGTAGCTTCAGGTAGAGCGGGGGAGGCGGCGAAACATCAGAGAGGCCCTTCAATTAAGATCAAACAGCTTTTTTTAATGTAAGAGGTCACGGTGTCTGAGGTCTGCCCGCACAAAGAGAGCGCAGCTAATTCTGGTGCTCATGGTAATTATGTTTTTGATCAGGGAGGAAAACCCTCCCTGATCAGTGATCAGGGAGGGTTTTCCTCTTGAAGATCCCTTTTTGATCGTAAACAATCGCCGGTAATGTTGACATTTTAAATGCGGGCTCCTCTTCTGACAACGCTGCCGTGTTTGGTACATCTGACCCAAAGCGTCGCCACCATTATTACTGATCTGTGAGTCTTTCACCAAACGTTCTGCACCGAGCCCCTTTATCCCCACAGAGTCCAGTGTTGCGAAATAGTCCCTTTGTTCGTGGCGCCACATAGAGACAACGTGGACGTTGTTGACTCACTATCACCACTGACCCCCCCCCCCCTTATTATCACAGCGGCTAGTTCTCTGCTCTGCTTTGCCACCCCGGCCCCAAACACCCACTCATCTCCCATCGCACAAAAAAAACCCCTGGCTGGCGTCACGCCATCACCATATTCCCGCCACTGCTGGCCGCGGTCACGGTGAGCCATGACCCCTGACATTCCACAGAGCTTAGTAGAGATCAGTAGAGTAAAGATGACCGTTAAAATGATGGTGTTTATTGTTCTATATGTCTTGTTTTAGCACTCTGTGCCTTATAAGTACTATAGCCAATCGTATCTATGCATTTCTAGCACAGTGTCCTGATGGAGATTCTGTCTAGACGTAATGGGGTGTCGGTCAGTACATTGGATTAAGTGAACTAGTGTGACTGTAAGATCTGCTTGTTCACATCATTTCGCACGCTCTCCTGTATATCTGATAGTGTAAATAGCTACCAATTAACACGTTTACTAAACGCCTCTAACTTTTGAGTATCTTGCAAAATGTTGAATTTTTATATATTTGTTGCATAATGTGGTAACATGTGATAATGATCACACGTTACCCTTCTTTTGAAAACTTTTTATTTGCCGAGTTCTCTGCCGTTGCTCCTGTAGGGATCATTAGTTTCATAAAATCATGTGTGTGCTCTTTTTTTGTTTTGAATCCGTGTGTGTGTGTGTGTGTGCGCGCGCACACTGATTTGACACTCAGGCCAGCCAGGGTGCCCTGCCTGTTAAATGTTTGATTGCACCCAAACTTCCTGGCGGAGGGGAGGGGGAGGGTGCACATGGAGGTCTGCATCTGCCGAGCGTAAATGAGCTGAGCAGATGTTGGCCAGATGTGGCCAGGGAAGAGGGAAGAGGGGAGGGATAAAGAGAGAAATGAACGGAGATAGAAAGAGAGACTCACCATCCGCACACTGACAGCTTTGTTCACCTCCACTCCGGAGTTAAGAGTAACTCTCCCTCCTCTTTTCCTCACACACTCACACTCCTCCTCTCCTCTCCTCCCTCCTCTCCTCTCCTGCCTCCCTCCACGCTCTCTTTGAAGTGAGGACAGTGCGCAGGAAGCGAGCCGGAATCGATTGCCCCATGCATTAGGCCAGGAATGTGTGACACCCTCCTCTTCCTTCCTCCTCCGTCCTCCCGACACATCCCTCAATTATTCCCCCTCTGCTCCTCTTCATGCACTCCAGACACAACCTTTCACACAAGACCCTACTATCACTTTGGCCTGACCTTTCTTCCCTTGGTGGCTGTTTGAGTAGATTCTAGACACTGATCTGAGGACAGCGGCTCAAAGTGTCACAGTTTGTGCTGTTTTTGAGAGAGTGTGTGAGTGCTGATCTGAATGCAGAGAGCTCGAAATTGCGAAAAGTTCAATTCTTCTTAAAATTTTTGTCTTTGTTCTAGAAACGGTGAAGTCATTCTCAGTCGGCTCTGCCCAGAGAAGTGATGAGCTTAAACTGAACATAATGTTCTCTCTCTTTGTTCCTTCTCCCACCATGTGTTTTTTTTCACTCGTGAAAAGAAATATCATTTTGTCCTCTCTCAATAAAAGTGGAGGTCAAATAAAAAAGGAGATATTCTCTTCCTGCTTTAGAGTGCAAATAACCTCGTGAACTTGTCTTTTGCCAGCAAGTTAGTCAGTCGGTCACAGAGTCTGTCGTTCAGTCAGTAATCCAGCAGTGTGAGTCATCCACCTGCTTCAGTCTGCCAAGTTACAACAAGCTCAAGGTCTACTCCACTGACAGAACAAAGAAACAGGAAGGATGTTGGCTAAACCTGCATAGCATTATGTATCACCAATACACATTAGCCAGGTGAATTGGTGGTCTGATTCCTGCACATTTCAGACACTCTTATTCAATTTTAAATTGATATTGTGCTCACACTTTGGCTGAGCTTTCAATTTGTCTGAGAGATTACATTTTTGCCTTCACTTTAACTTCTTTGAATGCTCACACTTAGTTCTGTCACGATAACTGCTTTAGTTGGACGATATATTGCCCCAGAGATAATTGCGATAAATTCTAATAATAAGTTTTCATTGTTAAAGATATAAAACCAAACAATCAAAAAATGAATAAAATGGACTCTCGGGCTGTTGGCAAAAATGCGGAATGTCTTTGCAATGCGCGAGTCTAATAACGATTAACCTCGCTGTTTATTCTGCCATCATGTTGGTTTAAATGTTGGTGACATTCTTATGTAACAAACAGGCACGTTAACACAACGGGCGATATCGAGTTCAGCTAAAATGATTGAGGTCATCTCCATATATCCTACGATAAGTCAATAACGTGAAAATTGAGGTTATATCCATATATCGTACAATTAGGCGATAACGTAAAAATGATGGAGGTCCTGTCCATATATCCTACAATGAGTCAATAACGTTGCTTGAGTTTATATCCATTTTTCATGCAATAAGTCAATTAACTTAAAAATGATTGAGGTTATGTCCAGTTATCATGCGATTAGTCGATAATGTTTTTTAGTGGCATTTCCTCAATTAAATGTCAAGGTGTTACGATGGTGATTTGATATAATGTGGGTTTCTTCTGGGATACCTTTGATGTGAGAAAAACGTATCGGCTGCACAAATATAGGAGAGCACAATGCGCCGAAAGTCAAAGTCTGTCTTTCTCTCTCGTTTTCATCTCCAGCTCTTAAACGGGCGAACACACTTGACGCCCTCGCAGGCCGCCGCCAACGGTCACCACTCCAACGGATTGCCGGCACGTCACGTGACCAGCTCAAGAGTGGGAGGATGGATGGGAGACGAAAGTACCAGCAGGGCAGGTGCGCCTGTTTGGAGCCAGACTGGGGAGGGTGGGGCAGGAAGAGGCAGGCGAGAAGAGGAGGAGGAAGAGGAGGAGGAGGAGGAGGAGAGAGGGCAGACGCACACATTAGAAGTTCTCTCTGGTCATCCATCGAGTCTGGACTCTATCCTGCGACACATTGTTCAACAGTTGGATATTCTCACGCAGGTCAGTTGTTAGTAAAGGTCCAAACTGTCGAATGAAGATACTGTCGGGGTATGAAATCCCTCCAAAAAACATCACAACAACAGAGAAATGAATATGAAAGTGTGGGAGGCGGGCTAACGGGCGAATGTTGAAATTTAAAATGTTTCCAAATGTCTTTGATGCAGATCTAGATTGCAATCTGATATAGTTTTCTTAATAAGAAAGTCGGTCGAAGTAGTAATCCCCTCCGTCAAACTCCATCTGAGGCCAAGTCGAATAAAAAGGCATAAAATGAAACCGAGGTAGTTTTTTTTTGTCCTTTTAAAGGGACTCTAGTGCTCCTTAAATACTACCGCTGTTGTCCACAGGGACCGCCAAAATCAACACAAAATGAACATTCCTCATAGTAGCTTTGAATTTCCATACACAACAAGTTTGAAAGCTGGAACACAAGTCATGATTTGGGGGGAAATGAATGAACAATGCAAACGATCTTGTTTACACATTGAAGAGCAGCTATCGTGGCAGTGAGTTTGACATGAACCCAAAAAAGTCCTGATGCGTCGTAATGTTTTCCAATTTCACATCTCATGTACTAATCAACAGCAAACATAAAATGTATGCACGCAAATAAAAACCCATCAGACGAGTATGTCCACATTTTAAGGTTTGCGAGTTCACCTCCAGAATAAGATACGGTCCGTCTTCTGCTTCCCGTCTTTAAAAGAAAAAGTGATAATTTATGAAAAATGAAGTGTGAGGAACTGTAGAACATTCTAGTCATCATACATGTTTTATTGAAAAAAGAGGCTTTTAAACTTTTGGTAGCAACTCTCAGCATCAAGTCCGAAACACCGTGATGTGTCACAAGAACTAAAAACCCTCTTCTGTCTCTCTTTAGCTCTCATGTTATTTTCCATAACTGCAACAGGGTTGATTTTAAGGCTCTGATCTCCGATTTTCATATTTTCAACTTCTATAATTATATGACTGCTTTATAATTATTGTACCCCCCCTCCTCCTCCTCCCACCTCCTCAAACAGACTGTTTCAGTGCTGGAGGAGCGTCTCACCCTGACTGAGGACAAGCTGAAAGAGTGTCTTCTCAACCAATCCCAGATTCTCAAGGAAGTGCGATCGTCGGGAGGACGGAGGAGGACGGCGAGCGAGGAGACGTCCATTTCCCCTGAGGACCAACACAACGACTGAAGCACAAACACACAGACTGATGCTTGACCCCAAGACTGCTGGACATGGGTGTGTGTGTCTATGTACATATGTGTCTGCGTGTAGTTAAAAATGTCAACCTTAGTGGTCTCTCTCGGGTCAGTGGGTTTACCAGGGTGTGTGTGTGATACGTTGTCCATGTCTTTCTTCACCTCTTAAGGACATCCAGCTCTACAGCCAATCACAGCCTGGCTGGGACATTCCATTTGTGTGTGTGTGTGTTAATGTACGTGTACAGCTATCTTTGTGAGGACCAATGTGCGTTTTAGACCTTGAGAGTGGCGACATTTTGGTCGGTCCTCACTTTGGGACGGACCTGCAAAAGGCCTGTTTGAGGGTTCACACTTGGTTGGGGTCAGGCAGTTAGTTGTGATGGTTAAGGTTAGGGTAAGGGGCAAGGGAATGCAATGTCAAGTGTCCTCACAAAGATAGAAGTACAAGGTTATGTGTGTGTTGATATGGATGTTACGTCCAATCGGGACAGCTGCAGCTATAAAAACAGACTGTTGTATGACCTCTGTGTGTGTGTGTGTGTGTGTGTGTGTGTGTGTGTGTGTGTGTGTGTTTACACGTGTACATATTTGTGCATTAGCACATTTTAGCAGTTTGTAGCATCTGCAATTACATCTCTGATTGTAATCTTTTTTGCATATTTGTTTTGTAATTTTAAAACGTGTTTTGCATTGCCTCAAATATAACTTATATGAACAGATGATAAACTATATCGCACTAATGTTATTCGTATCGTCTGTATAAGTCGAGACAAAAGCTGATAAAAACCTGCTTACACTTATTTTATTTGATAAGAGCTAACGTTCACACGTGTCTGCAAGACTTGAATATGAATCTGAATTTACATGAAATTAAACACTTCTGAATCATTTCAATGCCATCTTATCTTCATGGGTCAGAAATAGTCTTTGTGCTCTGAATTTGATTGAGAAGTTGCTGCTGCAACAGACTTTTGTTCTGACAGTTCATACAAGTAAAAAAAAATGTCCCATATTGAATCCCAATACTGCCAGCGAAATTAGAAATAATGTTAAAAGTTGTGGATAATAATTGGAAATGTTTTTACTTATAATTTATATATAAGTAAATAATAATTGACACAGAAAGTCAAAGACGACATTGTAACTCGCTATCTAAAGGTTCTCTTGACTTGCAATTTACCCTAAATATGAAGATGACGGTAGCGGGCTTCCATACCGCCGTGTAACTCTTGCTTGTTATCTGGTGCAGCTTGTCCACGTGATTCGTGTCACACTGCCTCTTGTCTCCACCAGTGACTGTGAAATGTTTCGGCTTGCCCTCTCCCAACGTGGAGACTTTAGCTGTTTATGTTTTTCCTGCGGCGGAGATGTGGCGAGCGATGCGGCCGAGTCGAGAGGAAGCAGTAAAAAAAAAGAAAGCCACACAAAGGGAGAGCTCTCCGCTGGCTGCTGTTGGCTCACGCCACCACATCCTTCTCTTCCTCTCTGGCTTTACGGCTTCTCCTCCTCCTCCTGCATCTTTTGCTCTCTCCTGGTTACATAAAGTGGTGCGGCCTGCAGAGATGCGAGACCAAATCCAGTTCCCCCACATCAGAGAGGAGACCGTGGAATAGTGGAAGGCCTGGGGTTTCATGCACCATTAAAAAGACAAGAAAAGTGTGAAGTACAGACCCAAGTTTCTACTAATATCTTACGTTAAAGCTAGCAAACAGGCAGCTATTGATATGACAAAATACATTTTGGAATTGACCGTGACTCAAGGTCCACTTACTCATTTGTTCTGGAGCTTTTGACCAGATCACATGGTCTTGAAATGCTCCAGAAAGAGCCACTAAGTGGACCTTGAGCTGTGATGGTTTTGCCAACCTTTTAGAAGGTCAAGCCCCGACTTACAAGCTCAACTTTTGAACCAAAATGGACGAAAAGTCCTTAAAGGTGCTAAATTTGAAATTGTATTGCCTCCACACGGCTCTCAATACAACAGCTGAGCCAGCGGCTAGAAGCTAACAGCGCTAACAGTGCAAACAATGGCAACAGCACCGACTGGGCTAGCGGTGTTTACCTGAGCGGGAAGCGGAGGGTGGATGCTACACTTAGCGGCGGCGCTATCAGCTGTAACCCCCTCATGAGAGCAGCGGACATGAGGCAATCGACGTGGCACGCTCACGTGCACTAAAAGGTACATGCGGACGTCCCTGCTATGTCAACAAAGCACAGAGAAGCTTGGATAACAACACACAGAGGGAGATTGACTTCATTCTGGATGTTGTATAAAGAAGCTTTAAAGTGCTCAAAAGACTAAAAAGTATTTCAAATTTTAAAAAATACACTGAACACCATGAAGATTGATTTCTAAAAACTATGTGGACTGTTGTTGTAAACCTTTTTGTGTACAAAAGCAGGAGAGCGAGTCGCAAGCAAACATTTAACAACCACTCTCCACCTCCACTTCCACTTCGATCTCATTAAGTGCACACAGGCCTTGTTTTACAGTTCACACACACACCAGTGTAGTGTGTGTGTGTGTGTCTTCAGTGCTTTGTGAACATGATCCCATAACTTGTTAATAGCTTCCTGGGGGAGGAGCTTCCTGTTGATATTGAGGAAGGAGCTCCGGGGCTGTTGACTTGCCACCAGACGAGCGCACGCTCACAGTTTACTGCTGAACCGCGTGTGTTTGTGTTTGTGTTTGTCTCTTAGTGGAAGTATTTGTGAGAGCAACTCTGTTCGGTTTCCACAGAAATATATTGATTTGTCAGGCTGTGGTATTGACTTTTAATCCGATATCAGTTTATCAGATATCGATGATTGTGTCTGCTGCTGATGTCATCGATGTTTAAACATGAAACTAACTTATAATGAGCTCGAATCTCCTTCGGATTGTTTGTTCCTTAAAGGGTCAGTTCACCCGAATCACAAAATAAATCTCTTGAGTTAATGGTTATATATCTATATCTATTTTTAGTTTTATTTGTTCAGGATTTGAGCAATCAGCCTTGACCCAACACAATGGAGGTGATTGGAAATTTGTTTGTGGTGTTCACAGCATTGAACATGTCCTCAAGGGTCCTAGATGCTTTTTTTCAGAGGTTTTTCTCATCCTGACAAGTAAACAATTCTGGTTCCTGATTGCTTCTATACAAAAATACAACACAACCTTTCTGTGTGTGCAATCGTTTTACCCCAAATGGTAAAGTTGTTGTCTCACTGCCGGCACGAGATGGAAGCCAAACATTATCCTTAGCTACCCAACTGAATCAACAGACCGTATTTTTCTCCTCCTCTTCTCTTCTCTGCCGCTTCCTGCCCGTCTCTGAAAAAACAGGAGGAACGTCGTTTCAGAGAATTCCCCCTCAACCTCCTTCAGGGGACGCAGCGATAAACGGAGGCCAGGGACAAAAGGAGGAGGGAGTGGAAAGAGAAAGAAGAGCGGGAGGAGAGGAAGACCCACGCTTATTGAGTTACAGTGAGTCTCACTCTGAACTCAGGATATGGCCTTAACAATAATTGATTGTAGTTTATGTAATGTACACACACAGAGACACACACACACAGTGAGACCTGTTCAAATAGGTTGCAGAAGGGGAAAGGTAAACAGTGAAACCTGCACACTGCCCAACTAATGGCTCCCCTGTTTGTTTTTTATGTTTGACTTTTCCTCGGCCGGAAAAATGCGCCTGTTTGCCAGAAGGGTTGAACAACCTGCTTCCGTTGCCTCTCTCGTTAAAAAAAACAGAAAAACAAACAGGTTTTTGTTTTTACATGATTGGCAGTTAAAGTTCTTACTGCTGATGTGGAAGAAATAAAATCCTGACAGAAAACACACGAGACGCAGGAAGGGAGGGACGGGAGAAGCAGGACTGCGTTGGCAGACTATCGGACCTGCTGCAGTAACACGAGAGGTTTTATAAAAGGGAAACACTACCGCTTTTGTAGTACGTAAAAGATCTTCTTGGTAGCTTTAAAGCTCAATTTTATGGACTGTTGCTTGATTCAGATTAAGTATTCTGGAAAATGTAGGAACAACACAGTACAAGATGGACTCTAAAAGGGTCAATTACACTACAAAATACGTCCTGCAACAGTAAGACATTCAGCTATCGTCTATGAATGAAATAAATGTACTTCCTGCATTTAAAAAAATGTGTGTCCGCCCAGCCAGCAGGAAACAATTGTTGACATTGTACGTTTCCACAAACGGATTCGTTGAATGTTCACGTTTTTGCATTCGGTCAGAGCGAGTGATGTAGTGTATCGTACCAACGTTATTCAACGTGACATCGTATATTAATGCAATAAAGTCCACCAAGGGAGGGTACTAGTTATGCTGGGCGGGTAAAAAAAAAAACACATGACTTTCACCCAGGAGACCAGTATTCTCGTCCCGTGTGAAACCAAAAGTAAACGTAGACTTTACGCTTGTTATCTAGTGTTACGATAGAAGGTCTGCTAACGGCGGTCACTATTTATTTACACTATTACATTGTTACGGTATTATTCTCTCTTTTTTCACCTTAACCAAGTCGTTTTGTTGCCTGGCCACTCGTTTCATTGTGCAGTTCTGCGAGCCTAATTCTAATTCCATGTTGGATTGAAATATTTTAGAGGCCTCTCTTCACAATTATGTGAAGCATAGTAAATGTCTATAAGAGTCAGAATATGTTCCCCTGGGAGAAGTGTTATTGCTGGAATTATGTCATCTCTGTCATTTTATGCGGGGAGTAACTAATATTCTGCTATTTTAATGTGTTGGTCATTGTTTGGCTACAGCAACCTATTGTTCTCCTGGTAGATCATCTAGCTCACCTACTGGTGACCTTCCATCAGGTCATAGTCCTCATTAGTCAACTTTATGTGCTTCACTGCCCCATTGATAATAAACAATGAAGTCAAATCGAGGACGCACAACTAGAGGAAACACTTTTTGTTTTTCAGGGACACACGGTCCCGAGCAGCAGCAGCAGCCTGATGCAGTGAAGCATGCTGGGACATCTTTGCAGACTGGTCTCCGCTTAAACACTCGTGGCCTGTTTTTACAAGGCTTAGCGTGTTGAAAGCTTATCTCCGGTGAAAAGGGGGGGAGCGGTGGATATAAAAAAAAGTGAGGGAAAGAGGGAGAGAGAGAGAGAGAGAGAGCGAGAGAGAGAGGGAGAGAGAGAGAGAGAGAGAGAGCGAGAGAGAGAGAGAGAGAGAGAGAGAGAGCACAGGACGAAAAAAAGAAAAAGCTAACTTCCGCACGGGGAGAAGGTTCAAAGGTACCTCCGCTCCTGTGTGATCTGTTTGTTGTCATTTGATTCCTAAGTTGATTTTCTCTCTCTCTCTCTCTCTCTCTCTCTTTCTCTCTCTCTATCTCTCTCTCTCTCTTTCTGGCTTCCTGTTCCTCTCTTTCACTCACAGGAAACAGGGATGCATGTACACAAGGCCTCCGACAACAGGTTCACCCTTTTCCCTTCCTTTGGGGGCCAATAAAATGTTATTTGTTTCTCCTCAAACTTCCTGCATCCTGGACACACAGTGTACTGAACCCTAAATAGTTTTACCACCGTGACATAAAACCAGCTCGAGTTCATAACCGCCTTACCAATAACCCACAAAAAGGCGATAGAGTGCTTTTTAGTAATACCAATCCTTTTTCTAGGAAAAACGAATTAGCTGTGTTAAGCACTGGACGTCTACGTGCATACCTTTGTTTAAGTTATTTACATAACAGGTCCAGTGACCGTGAAATGTTTCCTGTGCGCTGTTTGCAGTCTGCCCAGTCAGCAGTTTGTGCCACCACAGGGAGCAAACAGCTATCGAAATTTCCTCAGAGTGCTTCATTTGCATCGGTCAAAGACATGTATGTGAATTGGCTTAATTTGTTTTCTTCTATGTGTCACTGAAAAAAAGTTTCAAATCAACCACAACCACTTGGAAGGGGAGGCGTAGTACAGACATTAACATCACGATAGTGAGAGGAGACAAACTACCAGAATCACAATGTTAGACTCGAGACTGGGACCTGAGTCAGACTTAAGTTACACCCAAACACTTCAGACGAAAGACTTTGCTTGATACCTCTGCAACAATAAAAACAATAAAAGCTTGCAAAGCTGCACACTTTTTATTAGCATATGCATTTTAGGAACTGGTAGTAGTACAAAAGACTACTACAAAGACTCACAGAGCTCGGTCTCTGCTGGCTTTGACTTGTTCCAAGGAAAGAGAAGAAAAAAAAACGCAAATCTGTCGCACTCCC